CCAGCTCTCCCGAGGGCTCCCTTACCTGCCCCGACTTGGTGTTCTCCATGGAGCAGTCTGGGATGATCTTGGAGAGCTGCACGATCCAGTTGTTGATCTTGTCCCTGCGTCGTCTCTCCACTGGGGTGGGGACAGAGGAGATCGAATTTCAGGAAGGTTCCCAACCTTGCAGGGGCCCCTTCTACAGCATCTCCCAGGCTCAAGCTCCCAGCCCCGGGGCCTCTGGATCTGCAGGTGGCTGCCCTCACTCCCAGGTTTCCCTAGGGAGTGCTGAAGACAGCCTGCCTTGATGGACTTCTCTACACGCACCCTGGCCATGGCTGGAGCTGGGACCCTGGCAGGAGAGAAGATGGGAACGGGAGTATGGGGGAGAAGAGGGGCTGGCAGAGGTTGGATCACAGAGGGGAAGGGTGTAGAAGGTAGAATGGGGACAGGAGACCTAAGGCTTATTGAGGTGATTGTGCTAACTAGGCTCACTAGTACCAAGAGTCCAGTGGTGAGGCAGCAGCGGCTAATCCCACCTTTTGCTGGGAAACAAAGCCCCTACCCACTTCCCCTATCTGGGTGCAGCCACAGTCCCTTTGTCATGCTGAGAGAACGCTGTCATTGGAAACCCAGAGCTGAGGGTAAGCTGAAGAACCCAACCTTTGACAAAGGGCAATGCACAGGCCAGGGACCCAAATCACCTTAACTCTGCCCCCAATGCCCTAAGGCTGGGGGAGAAGCTTGAGGCACTATGTCAGTCTGGAACATGCCACATCACCTCCCTGAACAAAGACATTTGAGTTCTTTACTTGGGATTGCAACCTCTGCCCTTTCGGTGTGCACAGAGAGCTGCGGGAGAGCTGCTGAGACAAACAGGCCCCTCTCTTCATTAGAACACCATGCTTGGCCAACTGAGAGCTGGGCACATACAGTGCAAGCCCTTGGACCCAGGTCAGGGCAGAAAGGCAAGCCAGTGCAACGACAAAGTACCTTCATCATCGCTGTGGTACCCACAAGGGCAGCGGCCCCTCCACATGTCCGATTTCTGACGCGCCTGCGGGCCTCCAGAAGGCCTTACGCTGAAGGATGGGACAAGGACAGAGGCTGCTCATAATTAAGATGCCCACAGCTGGAGCCTGAGTGGCTTCAAGCTCTTGTTCCCAAAGTATCATCTTACAGGACACCTGCAGAGGTGGGAACGGCCGGGGCTTTCAGGGGCTGCCCTAGGTAGGAGAGGAACTTCCAAGGGAGGGCTGGAGGCAGAGTTAAGGCCTGTCTGGGTGCCCTACCTGTGCACTTCCACACTTTCAAAGGACTGAGTTAAGTTTAAGCTTTTAAGTTTAAGCTTCTTAGGAGGAGATTTCCCAGGCTGATAACTACAGCACTCCCACAGACATGTGCTTTCCTTCTTAACAGAGTTTTTCCATCTGGGTGGGAATAGATCAAGAGTTAACCAAGGGAAACGGCTCTTCACATCTACTGAAGGCAAGATTCCCCTTGGATCAAAAGCCACTACCAATAGGGGGCGCTCTCGTTTCTCCACCCCAGAACCTCTTCTGCCCCTACCTTCATTGTGCTGTGCTCGGCGTTTCTCGTCCCGGGTCGTCCGAGGGGCTTCAGATTTCCTGAAAAGCAAGCAGCCCCGCCAGACACTGTAACACGGACACTCAGCAATGGGTGACGAGTCACACCCCAAAGCCCTTTACTCAGGGCAGAGGCAACATCCGCCCTGTGTTACAAGGAGGGAAACTGTGCCAGGGAGCGGTGTAACACCACAAGCCCGTGGGCCAGCCAGGTACAGAACCGAGGAATCCCAACTCCCAGCCCTGTGGATCAGCCCACAACTGCTCCCCAGAGCTGTGTCAGAACAAAGACTCCCCCGCTCCGCACAAGTGGGAGACGTAAGAAAGAAGGTTACTAGGAAGTGGGAAGGCAGGCATGGGACTGAGCAGACACTCACGGAGAGTAGGGGTGAGTCCTCGGAGCAATGGATCTCTGAGCTCCGCCCTGCAAAACTTCCTGGGGCGACATCATCACAAAGAACTGCCCTGGAGGGTGGGAAACACAAGAGATGGGCTCACAAGGGGAACGTTTTCACAAGGTAAGCGAGAAAGCCGCATGTGTGGGGTGAGGGAGCACAGCTGACCCATCTCAGGGGTGACTGCCCAGGCTTCACGGCCAGCATGTCTGGACACAGGAAGGAAATGCATCTACAGCAGCTTCCCTGGACCCAATCAGGGCTTGAACATCTGGATGCAGGTGACACTCCCTTTGTGGCCTAGTTTGTGGAAGCAGCCCTGACTTCCAGGAGGCAGTGAAGCCAGCAATCCTCAGCACCTCTGAGGCTCTGGACTTGTAAGGGGCAGGTCTAGGGACAAGAGGGGACGGACACAGGAACATCAAATCAGAGTGAAGGTGTCTTCTCTCATTCAAACAGCCCCTTTGCTGGGCACAGCTCCGGGGAGAACCTGACCGTGAAACCGACAAGAAGCCAAAGGGAAACTGACCCGTTTAGAAGCAACATGCCAGCGCAAAGCAAGTGAAGCATCTCTGGGGAAGAGCGCCCCCGCTGGTGTGCTCTGTGCTGGTGTTGGAGGGCAGGGACCTGCTCCCCCTAAGGCAGCCCTGCAAGCTGGGGATCCCTGCAAGCTGCAGCTGGGGATCAAAGGTCAGGCTGGGCCAGGGAAGCTCATCGGTGTGGTAGCAGCAGAAGGCTGCAGCCCCAGCATCCAGGACTCCACAGCTAATCCATGTTGGAGTCGCGGGAGACAGACTCTGAGAGCACAGGCTGCTGCAGGTGCGGGTTTGGGTGTCCCAGCCCCCGAATCATCCAACCTGTACCAGTGGGTGTGGCCTGCCCCAAGAGGGCCTCTGAGTTCTGGGTGGTCACCACCGCGGTGGCCGTTGTCCCCGCACCGGTGGAAGTGCTGGTATCTGCCACAGCTGTCGTGGGGAAATATGTGTAGTGGGTCTCGGTGGCTGTAGCTTCTGTCTCAACGGCATCTTCGCTGGTAAACGCCCCCTGGATAACAGCCTGGAGTGGAGAGGGGTGAAGGAGAGCGGGATCTGGAGGTTCTCAGAATGCAGAGAGTGAGCCCCGAGGATGCAACGAGGTTATGAGGAGAATGCGGGACCTTATGGGCCACGCTGCAGGCTGGTGTCCGGAGGGGGCTTTGTCTGGCTCTGTGCAAGCGATCTCAGCTGGCAGGTCAGGCTCCCTGCCTGTCTCAGAGAGGGAGGGCCCAACAGGCAGTTCCCTTTCTCTGCTGGAGCCGACAGTAGGGTCTGAGTGGGAAGGGGAAGGCTGCCCCACAGGAGTACTGACCCCCAAGCCAGACACAATGGCCTCTGACTCTGGCCCTTCAGCCCAGCTCCAGAGGAGAGGCCTATGCACAGCTCTGCTGAGGGACCCCCTGAAGCCCTTCTGCATGGCCCCAGGGCATGGAGCCTCCGGCGGGCGCGGGCGCTGCTGACAGAGCCTCTCCCCGCCTCTCAGTGGGAAGCAAACAGGGCTGTGCTTAAAGGCTGGGGCCCAGAGAGGACCAGTTTGCATAGGATGCAACCTTCTACTTCCCCTCCTGAGCTCGGCCCTTCAGTATGTACCCAATCACTTCCCCTGCGCCGTGGGACCCCCTCCCCCAATGCACATGGCAGCAGAAGGAGGAACTCAGGAAAGAATCTCTGATGTGGAGCGACCCCTCCCCCATGACCATGAGGGGATAACCCTGGCCCCTGCCACTCCGTGCTGTTGCCTCTGTATCCGAGGCAGCAGCGCAGGGTGCCAGGTGGGAGCTAGTTCACAAGGGGAACCAGTTTAAAAACCAGCTCCCCTCATGGACCAGCTGCCTGTCACCCCACACTGTTGCTATTGATACACTACCCCTGTACCTGCCCGCCTGGCTCCTAACACACTTTAAATGCAGAGCTGCAGCAGGGGTAAGTCCCAGACCTGACTCAAGCTGAGCCAAGCTGCTAGCCAGCCTGCTAAAACATTTAATGGCAAAGGGTGTGTGTAGGGGGGAAGTGGGAGGGGGGGGGGAAATGCAGACGCTCTGGGTTAACCGACTACACTATTACATCCCTAGCCCCTCAATCTACCCCAGGCTCCAGCTCTGGTTAGCCAGCTTCTACAGGGTCTCCAGCCTGAACAGGGGAGTTCCCAAGGCCTGGGACAGAAGTACACGCCCTGAGCAAGCTGCAGCACAGACTTCAGTGCACTGGCACCGCTCCAGCCCGCTGGGCCCCTCCAACGCTGCCATCTCTGCCCTCACGCCTGTCGCCATGGCAGCTCCTACTGAACCCCTCCTGCTTCCCAGGGACACTCACCTGGGTCATAGACTGTGCTGCGGGATAGCCGCTGATGGCGCCGGTGCCCTCCGTCTGCCCATCCAGCTGCCCCTCGGCCACCTGTATCACCCTATACATCACCTGCGGGAGAAAGCCAAGAGGCGTTTACTGCCTGAGTCTCACTGTCTGGGATAGATAAAGGTAGCATTAGCCTCCGCTACTTCCACCCGGCCCTGCAGCAAGAGAGACGGGGCAGGGCGAGGGGAAAGCCCTGGTTATTGCATGGCTGCGCACACCTGCCAGAACGCACCCAGCCCTGCTCACCCGGCCAATGCCTGCCATGTTCACACGGCTTCGCTATGAATATGCAAGCAGCCAGCCACTGCGGAACCGTCTGCTGGCCTCACAAGCCCACCTGCCCCAGGGCTCCTTCCCCCCCCCAAGACCATGGGAATGGGGAGCAAGGACAGCAGGCTGGGCCCACAGCTCTCTGCAGTGGCACAATAGCATCTGTCCAGGATATACTCCCCTGCCCCCCAACCCAATTCCACTGCTGCCCAACCCAAGTCCCTGCCAATCCACTCCATGTCCTATGCCAATCAGGCCAGCTGTTCACGGCCCAATAGTTCTCCAGGGTTCATCAAAGCAAGTGCCCGGCATGACAGGTGGGGTAGGAGCCTGGATGTCACTAACCCAGCGGGGGCAGCTGCCCCCAGCCTCAGCCTGGGACACGGCTCATTGTACCAGGTGGGGGCTGCCTCATTTGCACAGATCATTACCCTGGCCTGGTACCAGGTGCCTGTAGACTGCAGCCAGATCTCCAACTGACATCAGGCAGCACCTCAAGCTTCCTCACAGTGCCAAGCAGGTTGGGCCTGTGAGAAGGTCTCGCACCTGCTCTCCCACTCATGACCATGCAGAGCTCCTCCCCGCCCCTACCACCTGCGGCGATGCAGACACAGCACGGCACTCTCTGGGGATTTTATCTGCCTTTCATACAGTCCCAGCTCTCAGCAACGACAGAAGCTCAGCACAGAGCACCAGGCCAGGACTTTCAGCTTTTCACACTGTCTACGGTCTCTGCATTGCACTCTCCACTACTTGCTCCTTTCCCATGCGTCTGTCGCCTGGCCCCCTCGGCCCACCCCCTAACCTCACTGGTGGTTCCCCTGATGCTTGGGATGGCCCACAATAAGGAGGCACAATTCCCCCTGTACTCACATAGTGCACGGTCCCTCCTAGCGCTGCAGAATCTGGCACAGCACAGATGCAATCTAGGGAGCTGGCCTAACTAGTGAGCCTGGAGACTTAGTTCTTGGGCACTTGAGTTTGCTCACAGAGCTGCACGTTTTCTGCACTGGTTGCACATGTGGCCAAGGAGTAAACATGCAGATCACACGGGCTGCTTCATTTCTTCCTCCTTCACCCCCAGCAGATATTTCCAGGGACAGGAAGAGTCAGCCCCACCCAGCCCAGGGAATACCAGAGGGGGAGCCAGTCATAAGAAGGCGGCAGGAGGCAGCTGCTGCTGCAGGAGGCGGCAGGCGTACCTGAGTGCCGCCGTTCTCTGTGCGAAAGACATACTTGATGTTGGGGTCGGGGAAAGTGGCTGCTGACTGGATGCTGGCAATGGCAACGCTGGTGGGGTCTTCGCCTGTCGCCACTGCACCTTCAGGAAAGAGAACAGGGGCGCACATGACAGGAAAGAAATTGTCGGGCAGCAGCCATGGAAGCTTCCCCCACCCCTACCCACAATGCCCTGTCCTGGCCAGGCAGTTCCCAGCTTCTCTGACAGCTGCTGAGGTCAACAGCTGAGCAAGGGACACACAGGAGCAGCCATATCTCTGGAGAGCAAGAGTGAGCAGCAGATTAAACCTCAAGCTTCAGGGCTTATGCCGGTCTCTATTAGAGACCCGAAGTGGGGGGCGGGGGGGGGGGGGTGTCCCACTTCTGCTCTAGCCAGGTTCTCACATCTGCAGCAGCTGGTGTTGCCTAGAGGCAAGCTGGCAGCTCCTAGGTTCCAGATGTGATGGCACTTCCACCAAGACCTGCGACCTCCTCTTCCAACACTTCACCCAGCCCACCCCAGAGGAGTCAGATGGCAGAGGGATCCCGCCACCTCCAACTGGGGCTGCACTGGGAACCATGACACAGCATCGCCAGTTCCCTGGGAATCCCACCCGGGGCCTTGGCAGTGAGAACAACAGAGCCGAATCACGGTATTTTCCTAGGTGGAGCCTTGGCTACAGAATGATCTGGGGAGAGTCTCCCAAAGCTGGGAATGGAGGTCGCCACTCACCTTCCTGTATCTGCACAGTGCCCTCTTCAGTCTCAGCCGCTTTCTGCTGTCTGCAAGGGGAACAAGGCACCAGTGAGGACAGAAGCAGAACAAGAACCCAAAGGCTCCTGCAGTGGCGGTTGGTGACATGGGGTCAGTATCGCAGATGCTCTGAAAAGTGGAGCCCCGAGTGGAATGCGATCAGCCAGAGGCGGGAGTTGACTAACGGAAGAGGTCAATGGCCGTCTTTTTTGTTCCACAGCTGGGGCAGCTACAGTGAAAGTTACTTTTTTTTTTTACTGTTTGTGTTTTTACAGTAAAAATTCAGGACATGTCTGCTTGGAAGACACTCTTGGCTACGTCCACACTGCAATCAGAAGGTGCCACTGCATTATGTGCAGACATAACTAAGCTAGCTCGCTAAAACCAGCATCATACCTGGGCTCTATGCTGTTATTTTCAGTGAGTCTGCTCCAGCCAAGCTTACTCAGACACATCTACACATGCGGTCCGGACTGTAAAAGCAGATGTAACCTTGGAGAGAGCTCATCAACTGAGTCGAGAGAGTGAAAGTTGAGCCGAGAGACAAAAAAAAGAGATTTGGAGACACCCTGTTCACAGCTCTGTAGTTGTTACCATTTATTTATCGTCTCTGGCTAAGAGAGACAGCCTATAAAGACACCTTGGTTAGAGACACAGCCATCTGTCTCTCTGGGTATGTCTACACTACCCCCTAGTTCGAACTGGGGGGGGTAATGTAGTCATACGGAGTTGCAAATGAAGCCCGGGATTTGAATTTCCCGGGCTTCATTTGCATAAAGCCGGCTGGCGCCATTTTTAAATGCCGGCTAGGTCGGACCCCATGCCGCGTGTAGCCGTTCCACGAGGCGTACAGCTAGTTCGGATAGGAAGCCTAATCCGAACTAGCTAGTCCGTGCCGCGTGTAGCCGCACGGCACGGGGTCCGACGTGTAGCCGAGCGGCACGGGGTCCGACCTAGCCGGCATTTAAAAATAGCGCCGGCCGGCTTTATGCAAATGAAGCCCGGGAAATTCAAATCCCGGGCTTCATTTGCAACTCCGTATGACTACATTACCCCCCCTAGTTCAAACTAGGGGGGTAGTATAGAAATACCCTCTGGGACTTACCCCTTCATCTCTTGGCTCTGCTATGCATCAGAAGAGCAGGTTTTGGATTCTCCCGTGCCTCACTTCACGAGGAACATCGATTATCAAAGGCAGGGCGCATACGCTGTGGGGACAGCAACACCCCTTCCATCTCTCAACCAATGTTCCCGCTAATGTTTTCCATCCATGTGTGGAACAAATGTTATGTGCACTGAGGTAAGCAAATGTGCACCACCAGTAGAAACACAAAACCGAGCTGTGGGTGTGCTGCTAATCATAGAATCATAGAATCATAGAATAATAGGACTGGAAGGGACCTCGAGAGGTTCTACACTATCCCTGACAGATGTCTATCTAACCTGTTCTTAAATATCTCCAGAGAGGGAGATTCCACCACCTCCCTTGGTAATTTATTCCAATATTTGACCACCCTGACAGTTAGGAATTTTTTCCTAATGTCCAATCTAAACCTCCCCTGCTGCACTTTAAGCCCATTACTCCTTGTCCTGTCCTCAGAAACCAAGAGGAACAAATTTTCGCCTTCCTCCTTGTGACACCCTTTTAGATATTTGAAAACCGCTATCATGTCCCCCCTTAATCTTCTTTTTTCCAAACTAATCAGCTGGGCAGCATTAGAATACCTCCCGAGCAGCCACCCAAGCGCTCAGCTTACAGGGAGCACTGCTCTCAGCCTCAGCTGTGCACCAGTGTTGACTCCTATCCTCTTCTTCTCACCCTTATCGAGCTTCTTACTCTTCCCAGGCACTTCTCGAATGACACTCTGGCAATCGCCCAAATCTGCTCTCCCCTGTTGTTTAGAGAAACCTTCTCCTCCCGTGCCAGTCTATTAATAGATTTTAGGGCCACTATGACCCTCTAGTCCGGCACTGTCACACATCACTTCCTGCACCAGGCCCAAAATCATGGGTTTGCTTAGAAATACATCCAGTCTTGGCTATTAGATGATCACAGAATCATAGAATACTAGAACTGGAAGGGACCTCGAGAGATCATTGAGTCCAGTCCCCTGCCCTCATGACAGGACCAAACACTGTAGATCATCCCTGACAGATGTCTATCCAACATGCTCTTCAATATTCCAGTGCTGAAATATTCAACAACCCCCCTAGGCAAGTTATTCCAGTGTTTAACCACCCTGACAGGCAGGAAGTTTTTCCTAATGTCTAACCTAAACTGCTGTTGCTGCAGTTTAAAGCCCATTGCTTCTCGTCCTATCCTCAGAGTTCAAGGAGAACAATGCCCCCTGCCCCCTTCTCCCTGTGACACCTTTGTAGATACCTGAAAAACACTGTCATGTCCCATCTTAGTCTTCCCTTTTCCAAACTAAACAAGCCCAGTACCTTCAGTCTTCCCTCATAGGTCATGTTTTCAAGACCTTTAATCATTTTTGTTGCTCTTCTCTGGACCCTCTCCAATTTCTCCACATCTCTCTTGAAATGTGGTGCTCAGAACTGGACACAATACTCCAAACTGAGGCCTAATCAGCACAGAGTAGAGCAGAACGACTTTTTGTGTCTTGCTCAAAACACTCCTGTCAATGCATCCTAGAGTCATGTTTGCTTTTTTTGCAACAGTATCACACTGCTAACTCATATCTAACTCATGGTCCAGTATGACCCCTAGTTCCATTTCTGCAGGACTCTTTCCTGGACAGTCACTTCCCATTCTGTATGTGTGACATGAATTGTTCCTTCCTAAGTGGAGCACTTTGCAGTTGTCCTTATTAAACTTCATCCTATTTATCTGAGGCCATTTCTCCAATTTATCCACATCACTTTGAATTATGACCCTCTCCTGCAAAGCACTTGCAACCCCTCCCAGCTTGGTATCATCTGCAAACTTAACTGCAACCTCCATCTGCAAATGATGGAGAATCCATCACATCCCCAGGACATTGCTTCAAAGGTTAATTCCCCTGACTGGTAAAAACATGCACCTTATTTCTAGTCTGCATGGGTCTTGGATCTTGCATTCTGCCTTTGCCTGGCAGGCCAGAGACTGCCACTCTCAGCTCTCTTCTCCCTGCATAGGTACATATAGGCATGTGGTTCCTGAACATGTTCATGCCACAACCCCCTTTGGGATCTCCTCTGGCAATGTGACCTCCAGGCATTGACAGTGAACCCTTCCCACTGGGGTGCCTCTAGAAGTTTCTCTCATGACACACTGATGGGGGAGGCAGGAAGGAGGCTGAATCCTGCCCCCCAGAGAAGGGGAGTCCCTAGGGGATTGGGCACTGGAGCAGCTACCTGGACTGAAAGAGGCATTAAAGGTGTCTGGAAGTCAAGGGAAATGGTTTATTGGATCCGGAGGGAAGATGTGTACTGTAGTGGCCTGTATTAGCCAGGCTCAGGGAGAGGCACCGATATCAGGTGCAGGAGGCACTGAAGTAGGGGGAAAGTACATACTCATGCCACAGGCAGCCAGACCCAAGGGCACATGCCTGGCCCAGACACTGACAGGTACTGGTAGCTGCTGAGAAAGGTGGCACAGGGGATCTGTGCATTGTCCTTGCCATATGGTCCTGGTTCTTGCAGCCAGGCCTTCTGCTCTTGCCAGCAGCAACCACATGTTCAGGCACCACACAAGAACACTGGGATGAGTTCCCCTTTCCAGAGATCTTGCCATCATGATCCCAAGGAGCCACCCTTCGATACTCCCGAAACAGTCACACCAATGTGGAGAGAGACAAAGAACCCACCACCTGCCTAATCCTTCTCAACATTTCCCTGCTGGCACAAACAAGGAGCTTTCTTTGCCATAGCATCATGCCGGGAGCGTAGGTGCTTGGATTCCCCCCATGCTCCTTAGGCCCTTCTCAGTGTGCCTGCTTTCCAGAACTCCCAGACGCCATACTGTAAGCACAACCTACATTTTTGGGAATCTTCCTTTTGGCTGTGTTCAAATACTTGATGTTTGGACTCAGTTCACCAAGCGATCCACACAGCTTTGTGCATGCATCATCGATTATCACTCCATCAACGTGTCTGCCACTGGCAAACTTGCTCATCAATAATTTTCTATTTCCTTTGAGAGCACTGACAGAAGCAAGAAGCTGTGCAGGGCTAAGAACCAATCCTGAAGTGGGGCACTTTAAACTCATTCCCCAGCAACAAGCCCATTTTGCATCCTATAAGTTACAAGCCTTCACTCCTTTAAGCATGTGCTGCTTTGATCTCCTATGAAGCTCAATACTAAATAGTTCATGCTGAGTGCTCCTCAGTAAATTCAACTTCTCTGGCCTCCTCGAACCCGTTTGAATGGCTTCTACTGCATCAGACATTCCCCTTCTCCTCACATTGGCAGCCTTGGCACCCTCCCATCCTCCAGACAGCTCCCCTCATTTCCTCCTGCGCAGCCTCTTTCTGCTGCTTTTGGCTTTGCACCTTCTTTCATGCTGCCCCACTGCTTAGGGAAACTTCCCCTCAGCCATTACTCCTTCCTGCTAACATTAAAGGTGTGTTATTAACTCACGTAAATTAACACCTGGGAACTCCCAGGAAATGAAATCCTCTTGAAAACAAGGTAGTCTGACATTTTCACACCTGTTCACAGGTCCAAGGAAACCCTCCCCTTTCCACAGCCTTCACCTCCACATGCTGATGCCCACAGAAGCTACAAATGGCCTTCACTAGGAAGCTGCCATCAGTTAGGAACACACCTTATTCCTAGTGAAGACACGCCCCAAATGCTCTGTTGTGAGCACAAGACAATATCGCTTCCCATTACAACCTGCTCTCAACTCTGCAGGCTCCCCATCTCCACAGAAAAATTGGAGAAGTAACTCAAGAGTCCCTTCTGCTCCACCTCCACCCAGCTCACTGGCTCCATGGCCCTCCTTTCAGAGATCTGTTTCTCTTCTCCTGTTGAAGTGTTTTAGTTGGCAGCTGTCTGGGTCACTGTTTGTTTTAGGTTTCTTGCTGCCATGTTGCGTAACTGGGATGACCCACTGCACGTGAATCATTCATTAACATGCTGCTAACCAGAGAAATTATTGATTTTAGCATGGGGAGGGAGAAGCCAGTTTTTGGAATAGCGTTGGGGAAAGGAGATGAACTGACTACTCTGGATGCCAAGCTCCTCTGGTTTAGCTGTAGGAAGGTGACAGTGTGAATAGCAGCTGCTTGAGTGTCTCTTCCAAGACCCTGGAAGAACCAATTCCAGTTGATTAGAGATGGGCCATCTCCAAGACCCGTTTATTGATTGGCCTTTCTGCTGAGACAGCCTGCGGGGGCTGATAATATCAAATATGGGGCAATGTCTGCAATGGGGACATGAGTGCCCCTAAAAAACAGGCTAAGACTCGTTTATATCAGCAGTGGCGCAGCATTGAGTGGTGGCTACAGCACCAGCCTTGGAGGTGAAAGAGCTGGTTTAAGTCCCAGCTCTGCACATACTTGTTGTGTGACCTTCGGAAAAATCACTTAGCTGCTCTGTGCCTCCCATAGGTAAAAGAGGGATAAAACAACTGCCCTGCCTCACCAGGATAAATGCATTAAAAGTGTGAGGTGCCCAGTAGGGCTGTAAAATCACGTTATTTGGCTAACTTAACCGGTTAACTGATTAAAAGGCAGGTAGGCAAGGGGTGCTTCATAAAAGGTGCAGCTGGGATGGAGTGCCCCCGTCATCATGGACAGTGGCTGCTTTGGCCAAGCTGAAGTGTCCCCCACCTGTGGCAGGCTCGTGGGGCTGGAGTAGCACCCACCAGTTAACCATTCACATCCTTAGTGCCCCAGCACGAGAAAAATGGGAGTCAGATTTATCCCTTAGATACAGTATGTATCACACAGTGATTAGAAAAATGGAAAGGACTGAGAAAGATAAAGATTGATTTAGCTTAAATTGCTAAGGATTTGATGCAAATTAAAATCAATCTAATCAAATTAAGAACTGTTACAGAACTCTGGGTAGCAGGTTAATTAAATCAATTCAAAACCAAATAGGATGTCAAAGTGTAGTCAACTACATGAATAACCTGGGCTTATCAGTTAATGCCATTGACTACATGCATTCCTCTCCCACTTGCTGCCTTTGTTTCAGAGGCAGCGGGAG